ATATATACTGTATGATAACATACAGAATGAATGAGAATGTAAAAAGAGTGAACATATTCTCTTTGCATGTTTAAAGCACCTCTGAAAAAGTTAAAAACACACATCTAATAGATATCTATGAGATGGAAAATGTGGCTCAGTGGCAAAGGTTGGGGAGACTTCCTTGGGTAACTTTTTTTTTAATTTTGAATTTCAACTATGTATCATCTATTCAAAATTAAATAATAATAATAACAGCAACAGAATGAAATCGTTCCTCCTTGTTAGACCTATGTTACAAAGGGACACATGCAGGGGAAGTGCCAAGGAGACACATGTAAGGATAATATGCCATTATGTAAAAATGTGAGTCTGTATTATGTATTTGGGGAGTTCAAAACCCAATTGAGTCGAATGTATGAAATAACTCCCTCAACCTTCAACTTACTCCCTTTGTTCTTGACAATGCAGTTACAAAATTACTTATTCTACAAGTTGCAAATTCAATACTATGGGAAAAGATTTTAAAACATCTAGAAAAAGCATAAGAATGCATAACACATTGCCCACCATAAATTCTGTATGTGGGCTGTTTTGAAGTTGTAAGAAGGGGAACTGAGTGCTCTGTGTGTTGGAATATTTGTTCCAAACTTGAACCAGGAGAGGTAATGAGGTAATCTCCCTAAGATTCTGTCTAGGGAATTCCTGAGTACTGATACTTCTGTACTGATGATAATGGCTCAGCAGTGAGTGCATATTCTGTGGTGGGAATGTTAACATTAATTATCACACTTAATTCTCAAAGAGCCTCTAAGAATTTTACAGATTGGAAGATTAAGGTTTAGCTAGGTTAAATAGCATGCTCAAGGTCACATAGCTAGTGCACCAGAGTTCTGGATTCAGGTCAATTGCCTGAATGCATTAATTGAAGGGCTAGACAAATACTTGATGCATATATGCACTGTTCTCAAATTTTACTAAGGGTTTACATTTCATTGCCCTAGTTTGTTACAGAGTAAGTGCCAATAGAGAAAACGTGCATTCTATTACTCTCCCTTCTGTACTAAGTACTTAAAAAACTCAGTAACCAGTAAATTATCAGAGAGAGGCACCAAAAACTTTGAACTATCATATTTCACCATCCTGTAAAAACAAATTATAAGGTAGCCCTCACTCATCCTTTTAGGTTGAAATTTTACATTCTGCTTGCTTCACTAAATTTTTTTCCCATTAATTTCTGATAATCGAGAATCAGAATGAAGCAAGTGTCTCTGCAGTATATAGTTTGTTATCAGTCATCTTCCACATACCACATGAACTGGTTTCTAGTAAGAAACAATTGTGAAGCAGAAAAACATGAGACATTAGAGGTGATGTTGGCTAAGGAAGGGCTCGATAAGTGCCAGAAACTATGTATAACAGAATAAACCTATCATGTTCTGAGTAGTACCTTTCATACATTTCTCAAAGAAAATCTGACTTCAACGTGTTTGTAAATGCCCTGTAAAGAATAGCTGGAGACCATAATTTTGAGTGAAATGAGTCGGACTCAGAGAAGTGTCATAGGGAGACTCATATATGGAAGATAGAGGAGGGGAAAAAGGGTCAAGGGAAGGACACCATGAGACCAGAAGGGAGATCTTAGGGAAGAGGAAAGAAATCCACAGGAGGGAGAAGGGAAGGAGTGGAGGTACTGGGAAATGAAATTATTTTTAAGTATATACAAATATGCCACAATGAAACCCATACTATTCTATATTTTTAATATGAACCAATAAAATTTTTTAAAAAAGACAATGAGCGCTAAGCACATTTCCTTTGAATTTCCTAAAAATTCTGCAATAAACACTTTTGGGTTCTTAAAGATCTTCAATTACATTTCCTAGAAAATTCCCCTGGTGTTCCGTGATCTTTCCGAGTATATCACTTCATTCCATTAAATTTTACGCTGTTATTTTACTGTCTTTCCCTTTTTGGTGACACTTTGGATCTATTCTCAAGTTTACTCTCTTTGTTCTCATTCTTTCCCTAGCCTCCTGTCCTGTCTTTATTCTAAAACTGCTTGTGAAAAGGTCACAGGCTGTAATGGCTACCTTTCAGCTCTAGCTTGTTGAATTTCTGGGTAGCACCTGGAATTGTTCCTTACTGAACTCTGGAGTGTGACGGCACTCGGTTTCAATCTGACTCCCCTGCTTAAAAGCTATATGGATGTGGGCTAGTCTACTCAACCATCCTGGCTGTGTCCTCTTTACATGTGAAATGGATGTTAAGAGTAGTGTTCATGCTGCTCTTGTTAAAAAGAAAAGCTTTTAACAGTTTACTTGAACAAGGCTTCTAGAACAGGCGCCCTCCCTGCTTCACAATTTCCAGGTACATCTACAGCCAGATAAATGGCAAAAAGAAACAACAATACAACAGTCACTAATATGCCATTATGTAAAAATGTGAGTCTGTATTATGTATTTGGGGAGTTCAAAACCCAATTGAGTCGAATGTATGAAAGATGATATGTCTTGAGCTCTGTAATGTTTTGAACAATCAATAAAAAAAAAAAAAAGAGGACACTTGCCTGTGACTTGATGACAAGGGTATACTTTTAGGTTGCAATTTGTTTATACAATCAGCCAGGGTGTGTCCCTTATGTTGAGGGGGATGCTTTGGGTCAAACTTTATCACCCCAAGTACAAAGACTGGTTTAGGCCAAACTTAACACTTTTAATAAATAACTACTTTTACTATTAAACCAAGCCTCCCATAGTTTTCCTCTTACTCTGTACCTTAAATGACTATTTCCCAAGACTCCATCCTTGATCCTCTGCTTTTCCCCACACTTGGGTGATTAAATAAGGAATTACGGTTTTGCTTAAACGTTCCAAGGCAAAAATCCTTGGATTTCTGTTTGGGTAAGTTCCAAACCTCTATGTCTAGGCATTTTATGGTAATTTCAAACGGAAAATACCACCCCCATCCCTTTCTCCCGTTTCCTAATTTTGATTAAAATTAATGGCGTTCTCCATTCAATTACAAAACAATAAAAAACAGGTGTCATATTAAATTTCTTGTTCTCACTTAACAAATTGCAAAATTTCCACTCTAGCTTGACAAATCTGCCTTTTCCCCATCTCTATTACTTTCTTAGTTAAGCTTCATTATTTATTATCCCAATTTTGGGCCTCCTCTCCATGAATTTATTCTGCATTCTAGCTTATAATTTATATGGGCTCCAAATCTGAACGTCCCATCCTTTTTGTTGTTGTTGGTGTGTATGCTACTGTACATAAAATAAATCCAAGTACTAAGGAAGGCACGTAGAGCCCTCTATTACTGGACCCAACTTTTGTCAATTTCTACCCCAAATGAGTGGCCTTAAACACTATGCTATTCTGCATCCTGGCCTTTCACTGTTCATTATGCTGAAATTATCTGTTTCTGGCTGTCATTAGACATTTCATAGGGCAGGGACTTTCTAACTTATCTTTGTACCTCAGCCTAACACAGTGCTGAAGTATGGCAGGCACTCATATTGGTTTTTTATTTTTAAAACCTTTTGCAGTGCTGGAGATGGAACTCAGAGCCTTATGCACACTAAACAGGTGCTTTACTCAGCACTCATGTTTAACTGAACTGTAGGCCTTTTTTTCTTCTTGAAGAAATTATGTCAATTTAACAAATACTGATCATTTAAAGATTTTCCTTATTCAAGATTTCTCCCCAAATTCCTAGAAAACATGTTATTTTTTTCCCTGATTTTTCCCACCATCATTTACATTTGGTGGGCAGTCAGTGATTTATCATGGGAGTTCTCACACCATAGGTTATGTTTAAAAATCAACGTCTTTACTAAGAACAAAATGTGCAGATGATTGAAAAGTACGCAAGGTGAAAAGCAGTTCTAACCCTGACATGCATACCTGTTTCAATCAGTGATTTGCATTCTAGGTACACATGAATGTATACAAATCTACAAATGCAGCAGTGAACAACAGAAAGAACAGTTCTAGTTACAATCATGCAAGTGAGCAACGAAAGAAATAAAAGCAGGCAAACAGAAGTCTTATCCATCACTGTATACCCAATGATGGATGTATTTTTCTGATTAGGTGAAGTCAACAGCCCTCTGTTCAAAACAAAACAAAAAATAATGAATCACATACCATAACTATCATCCAAATTACTTAAGAAGAGATGATTAATAAAACCTATTTCTAAAAAGGATGTAATACAAGTACAGAAAGTATCCAGAAATATACAATGGGTACTACCTAAAACAATTCCAAGTATAAGCATACAGGAGATTTGGACACTGGTAATCAGTTAAGTGTACTCAGAAATGATTGCAAGTGCTTTTCTTCAGCAAGAATTTATTTAATTCTATTCTGTGTATGGCACAGTTGGACACTAGGTTAGTTTGGATCTAGAACAAGAAATGAAAATAAGTCAAACAACTGTAAAAAATCTCAAGAAAATACCGACATTCTGTTCTGGTTTCTAGTAGCAGGAGGAAACAAAAGCATTAACAAAAAGTATTGTTTAAGACATATTTTAAGATTTGTGTGAAATATTCCCTCCTAAAATTTTTCCTAATTCTCCAAGAAATTCCCATATGCCCCACTCTAATAAATCACTATTTACTAGAAGTTTAAGAATGTAAGATTAAAGATATCTTCCATACAAAACCTAAGAACTGTACCATAATCAGACTAATTGGTGATATATAATATCCCACTTCTAGAGAAGTTAAATCTATGATGAAAAGGAGAAACTCAATTCTTGTATGATTTTTAAGGTAGAGATAAATGTCTAGTTTGAAGTAGAAAATGAGGATTTAAATATCAGAGCCAACATGGAGAAATCTATCATTTGTTTTTATACATGCTCATGTTTGAAAAAGCAATCTAGTAATTATTACATTTGTCAAAAGAATGAGTACAATGTGTATATTGTGGAGTCAGGCTATAAAAACTGATTAAAGCAAATGCAAACCTACATGTGAACAGATTCTAAAGTATAATTTCAAGATATGAAACCAGTCAACTTTATTTCTAATAGGAAATTCCTGTATGTACAAAACATTTATTTAACATCAGGAGACCAACTCTTACAATGTTTAAAACAGAACTTAGAACTTTAATGATGAAACATTTTGAACATTTTAGAATGGCATCTGTTAGCTGAAAAACAGGCAGGTGAAATTAACAAAAGGATCAATGAGGTCTTTCAAAGATGGTTTTAGTTATTAGACGTTCTTAGCAGTTAAGTAGAACATTTTCAATGGTAAGACATGATTTTTCTAAAAGTTGGTTTTTCATTTAATAAATGTATTTTCAATCCACTTCCTTTTAAGACACCCCCCCCACCCTTTTTAGGAAGAATGGAGAAACAAAACTCCCAAGATTAGAGACATTGATTTATCTTAGGTGTGGCAACAGCTACACCTAGTGGCTGGAGTTGAGTAATGCATATTTCTAGCCCTATTGTTATAAAAGTAAATTCAGAAATGATCATTTTTCAACTTATTTAGGGTTTTAGGATAAGTGTGACCTTTTACTTAACTACGTTTTAAGTAAATACTCAAGAATCTTTGGGAACAAAAGCCTTGGCTCATAAGCTTGACCCAAGTATCCAGAATTTTTAGTATTCAAAAGTAGCTAAAATAAAACTCAAACCAAAGAGAGAACATACAGATACTTTATTGCTCACCTTTCACACAAAGCACACCTCCAGCCATTTTCTTTCACAGCTTGACAATGTTTACGTATACAAAAACCCAGCAAGAAGCATCATGGCGTGTAGATTTCAGTAAAGGAGAATGTAAAACATCAACTCAGCCAGGCTTTTGTTTTCTGCAGCAATAATAAAGGGCCTCCTGCACTAAGCAAAATCTACCTTACTTTGTAGTGCATTTCTTCCATTACAAAAAGTCTCCTGCCCAAAGCAAACTAACTTGTATTTGCTGAGCCAGTGGTATTAACTCGTGCATAAAACAAATTTCGGTTTGCTATTTCTTCTAGCAGACTTCAAGTAAAAACACGGTTGAACGAAGAACTTGTTTTGGATGGATGCAGGTCAGTTTGAGTTGCTATACTTAACTAAATGCCTAAATGTACTATAGGTTCACAACTTAGTTTGCTTTTATAGTCTTTATGGAATTTGGCCGTGTTCAAGGTTTTCAGAGTTGAGCATATGGTACAGTATTCCATCAACTGAATAAGGCTACTGAATGTGCTATCTGCAGAAGAGCTCATTTAATAGGAACTGGCCTAATGGGTCTATCATGAAGCAAATGTGGCACAACCTCTCTGAATAAAATGCCAATTGGGGCAGAATTGTGCTCGGAAAATAGGCATTACAATATTTTACACAAAACACATATAAATGGATTGTTAATATGAGGACGATTTCCTAGTAGTAAATCTAAAAAAGTCTAGGTGAATCCTCATTTTCAAAACTGCATATTGAAAACTACTTTATTCAAGTAATTTCTTAAAAAAAAAGTATGCATGTTCTGACTGTGGAATTAGTCTACTGGTCAATTAAAGGCAACTTTAATTACCTTTTAAAAACTTTTTTTCATAGAAAGGAGAGATGTTGTATGTTTTTCTCAAATAAACAGCATTATGTAAGTCCATTAAAAACAACAACAATAACAAAAAAAAAAAAAAAAAAAACAGAATCAAAGGAAGACCTACAATGTTTATGCCAAGCAGGAATCTGCCTGCCACCACCTGTGGTCTCACGTTAATTCAAAATAGATGCTGGACTCAGGATTCTGAAACTAAGTTTCTATTATTTGAGCTCTAGCAAAATGTAAGGTTCTGTAGCCTCAACTAGTATAATGTCTTCCCTGTCCAAATCCAGAATGATTATACTGATAGCCTCCATGCTGGAAGTGTTGTTCAAATTGACCCCCTTGGTGGTAAGTCTGGCTTCCCCTTCCTCCCCACCCACCTCCCTGGCCTCCACGACCACCCCGGCCTCCTCGACCACCTCTCCCACCACGACCACCACCACGATCACTGTGGTGCCCACCATCTTGGTATCTATTGTCCTGCTGGTATCCACCACCCTGGTATCCACTTCCTGTGTATGAAGATGTTTGGAAACCACTATAACCACCGCCTTGATAACTACTACTGTGGCCACCATGATAGCCACCTGGCTGGAAACCTGAATCTCGATAACCACCATCTTGGTAGCCACCTCCTCCTCCTCCTCCTCCTCCTCCTCCTCCACTCCCACCATCTGTCCAGCCTCCTTGATGCTTATTTCCTCTTCCTCCCCCTCGGCCACCATGGTCATAGCCACCACGTCCACCTCTCCCTCCTCCTTGTTCATGACCTCCACGTCCACCGTATGAGGAATGTTCATAACCACCTCTCCCTCCTCCTCGACCTCCTGCTTGCTGCTGGGGGCCATCTTGCCTTTTCTGCCATGGTGGCATCTCTGGGGGTGGAGGTTCAATTTCATTGGGTCTACCACCTCTGTCAGGTACCCTGCCCATCAACACCTATGGAATAAGAAAGATATTTTTAAACTATCTCACTTTATCAATAAAGCTAAATATATTAGCTTAAAATTAAAATTAAAAAATTAAAGGTACTCTAATCACCTTATTGATGGCACAGGCAGTCTTTTCTCTTATGGAACCACTGCTTGTCCTTAAAATCTTTGACAAGTCTTGCCTTGCAGCCAAAAGATGAGCAACAGAAATAGTGCTTTTAGGAGATAAGACTGAACGCTTCGGCTGATAAACCTTGGCTAATTTTTCTGTCTGACTCTGTGGAAAGAAAAGTGTTCAAAGAAAAATATCAATTTTCAGAACAACTTAACACTCATATAAAGCAAGTTAAAGATCTGAATTCCCGATGGTAGGAAAAGTTACATACTCACCACTGCTCCTACCTAGTCAAGACTTATCTGTGTAAGTATAGCTGCCAGACTTGCTGATACAGTAGGAGTAAAAGTGCAGCTAGGGGTGGGGTAGGGTCCTTTCCTTTAGATGTTTAGGGATCATGTCTATAAATACTATACTTTTAAATTATTTAATAGGTACCTTAGCTCTGTCAGACCAGCCAAAGGACTGAACAGTGACATCCAAACGTTTTATTAGCAGCTTTCTCCGAACTTCATATTCATTAGCTATGGCTTGGTTAATTGCTTCTATCTTTTCCTGAAGTAAAATTAAAAAGACCAGTTAGAATTTAAAGCACTTGACCATGTGGTTCCTAAAGAAGAGACACTGTATTTTATCTGTTTCCCTTAAACTGCAATCCCTAGTAATTAATTAATTCCACTTGGTAATAGATTAATAGTTACTGAAATACTAGGCAAAAAGTATGTTAAGCCTGAAAACATAATAAAGATTGTGTAAAGTACACAATTCTTGTTTAGCTTCTCACAATTCACTGTGTGAAACTCTGCCCAATGACGTTTCTGGCTTGAATCCATTTGGTGATTAGAAATAAGCATTATACTGAACTTCAATTAATTTTATTCAGCTTGTGAAAATTTTAAAAGTTATGAGATAAGTACTTCTAATCTTACACAGAATTATTCTGCATAAATATTGAGACTCACAAAAATGATTCTAAGGCTGTTCATCTAGAAAACCATGTATTATGAAACACAACTTAAAAAGCACAAAATATAAGTGCTCACACAAAAGTCATGGAACAGATAATTCCTTACAGTTTACCCGAGGATCTCTACTTACCCAGTGGGCTGGTCCCATTGGCTTCTTCAGTAAAGGCTTTCCCACATGATTAGGTGGAACTTTTGCTAATGTTTCCTTTAACTGACACAAAAACATAAATAAATGAACAAAAAATCTGAAAGTAAAACATATCCTCATCTTCCCAAATCCCATCATATCTTGTCATCAAAAGAAGATTCCTGACAGAGGCAAAGGTGGAGGATGTTTTGAAACGAAAATGTAAAGACCCATGAGAAACACTCACTTGTCCCACTCCTCACGAGCCTACAGAAGCTTGAATTCTTCACTGGACCTAGAACAGTGCCTGACAACAGTGCCCTCAATGAGCGCTTGCTGAATGAATGAATGAACACAGAAAAATATGGACTAGATACACTGCTACACCCCTGTAGCATTCAGCCAAATCTGTGCATCATGGTGTCGATCTACTCCACTCTGCAAATGTACCAATTCTCAGAGTCCAGCAGATATGCATATAAGGAAAAATTCTGCTACAACAAATACCATCCTCTTTTACTCATTTTTTTTTGTTGTTGTTAAAATTGCTTGTTCCTAATCAATTACATCAAAAATAACTATTGCCAAGACGTGGTATGAAAACAATTCCAATTCATTTTCACATACTAGATTAAATTAGCAGTCAATAAATCTAGTTTGCTAATTACATTGTCTGTGGCTGCGTCCTGCTGCAACAGCAGAGTTGCATCATTTTCAGAGACAGTGCATGGGTTGAAAAGCCAAAAATATTTACTACCTGGACCTTTAAGAAAAATCTGGCCAACCCAAATATATAAGACCCAGAGTGACTGGATTAGACAAATATTAACATCCTTTTCAGTCCAGTCAATGGGATAGGGTGATATCATTTAATGATAAAGACCTTAAAAATTGTGTAAAAGTTCAATGACAAATTTTAAAAAGGACTTATATCTTAATTATTTTTACATTAGCTTATATCAGCTCATAAACCAAGGAGTCAAGTTTCCTTTTTGAAAAAGAAACATGCTAATATGTTTTGTAAAATGTTAAAACACTAATTTCTCTTTAAGGCATCTAGGATTTAAAACCCAAAACTCATTTAGTAACAATTACTTAAGAATATGAACATCAGGTTCCCATTAAGAGAAATAAACTTAATGTTTCATTTCAAACAAATGTAGGACTATGCCTTTAATACACTACAATCTGGTACTAAAGGTCTTACTTTTTTTTCAATCCCGCTGAAGAATTGGAACATAGTTATATTGGCTGGAGGTTTGGACATTCCTAGAGCAATACATATGCCTTTCAACTCTTGAAAGACCTCACTACCGCCTCCTTCTTGAGCTTTTTTTGGAGGAGCATTCACACAGAGCATTCTGGCAGCTTCTAGTTCTGAGATGAGGTATGCTGAAGTAAACAAAATAAGATTTCAAATGAGATACAGCTATAGTTAATAGTCATAAGTCTGGAGTCACAACTCTATAGACCTAATGATATGTAACTTTTAAAGCTGCAAGAATGGATAAAAACATGAAAGAAAAAACATTTTTACCTGTAAATGACATAACATAGATACTGGTTATGTAATTCAGGTATTTCACCAATATATAATGCTTAAAAGTCAATTTAAAAATAAGCAATTCTTCTTTGGAACCAAAGGATCAAGGGAGATCACATCTACAGATTTGGATTCTTGCATTCTACCATTAAGGAACCTCCAGAACAAGGGTTGGCATCTGTTAAACAATTTGTAGAAAGTGATTGGTGGTCAATTTTTCGTGACGGTTAAAAAGTGCACACACACACACACACATATGTATGTATGTAACATATACGTGAGTGTGTATTTTAACTTCTCCCCACTTGTGAGCACCAGTGATCTACCTATCATGCTCTCTTGTCTCCCAATAATAAGGTAGCCTGTTAAGCCAACCGTTTAACTTGCGGGAGAAGTGGAAAGGTACCAACTCCCCAAAGTTCCTTTCCATGTTTCCAGCATCCTCATGCTACTGTCTGGCTGGTGAAGAAAGCCCTCCTCAGGGTGCCCTTCCCCCTACTTTTCTTACCTCATTCCCCACAAACAACAAAACTTCACATCACTTTTTGGCAGAATCTTCTTTGTGTCAATATCATGCCCTTGAGTGCTGATTTTTAGCCATGTATAGTGAGGGCCACAGTCCGTTTCAGGCAATTCAATTGAAGGTCCAAATATTAAATTCCATTCCCTTAAACTTCCCAAGGACATTTCAATTTTTATAAAATGACAGTTAAGAATCATTTGAATCTTAAGACTTTCAGGTTATGTGGCAAAGGGAAATAATTCTAAGAAGGTAGTTTTAGACAAAGACATTTTGTAGGCCCTTAAGTCCTATGGGAAGTACAAAACACTGATCAGTTTGAATATCTCATTTACTACCCTCAAGGTGTAAGGTTAGGAGCACAGGGGGACCATAATTGGGCAAATCATTTCTGAAAAGCTGCCAAGTTCTGTTCTAAAACAATAAATACAGCTAAATTTCTGCAAAGGCCATTCTAAGTAGATTTGATAAAATCTTAATGTGTTCCATATAGCAACCTGCACTTATGTGTTAAAACATCTAAACAGTAAAACCCAGAGTTATGAAAATAAACACTTGTTGTTATGGGTTTTACTAGCAGATTGCCACACTCATTGTCTGTGGCTGCTTTCCTGCTCCAACAGCAGAGTTGCATAGTTTTTACAGAGACAGTGCATGGGTTGCACAGCCAGAAATACTTACTATCTGGCTCTTTAAGAAAAAGTTTGCCAACCCTTGTTCTAGAAAATCACACACAAAATGATTTAATAAAAAGATTCTCTAAATTTGGGACAACATAGTTCATGTATTAACAAAATTAGTTCACCAATATAATTACCATGAAAAAAAGCTTTAAATGTGACTGATGTTTTCAAAAGGAAAGGCATTAGAGATATTACAAAAAATAAACCAGAGAGTATCTCTACTTATGATCTGAGAATAAAGACATAGTTTCACCCCAAAAAAGATGACTAACTCTTCATCTACTAGAAACTGTGATCTGACTTAACTTACCCACAGGAAACAATCTGAGGACCACAAAAGGCCGAAGAATAGCCAAAGCAGAGTCCTTATTCTGACACATGAGTGACTTTTTCTACCTCTCCAAGACTATTCTATTTCATAACAGTTCTCATGAAGTTTATTTGTTCTTCCCCTCAAAATATAATATGCTAAAGGACTCAATTTGGGAGGCAAGGGTGCTGGAAGTAGAATTATAGCATCACGATGTGACAACCGATGTGTGGGGAAAGATGAGAAATAGTTACACAGAGCAGCAATGAGTATGTATCAAAAATGCTGGAATGAAAGACAGGTTACAAACTGAGAACACTTTAGAAAGGGGAAACAGTGGAGGCAAAAGCAAAGAGGGAAACAGAGTGCATGTATGAAAAATTAAAAGTCAAGTAACCTTTGGCTGATTTAGTCATTTAATTGAGGAGCAAACAGTTGGATAGTCTTGAAAAGCTTTTGAGGTGATAGCACATTAAAAATAAAGCCTATTATTATGACCCTGAGTCCAAAATAATTTCAGTGCAATCTGATTAAGAAATGGGGAAGATATAAAAATGTTTTATGAAGATTTACATTTAAAGTGGGTTTTATAAGTATCAAGGCTAAAAAGCTAAACTCTGAGCAATTCAGGGTCATTACTAGTTATTCTATACAGCTGTTACCTTCCTGCATATTAACATATTCTCAGTGTCAAATACTATTGGTGAGGGTAAACAATGTACAGAGGGAGTCAGCTGAATACAACGCTTTTGAGCTAGTTATGGAATTATACAACTGAATGAAAATCTAAGAGCCATATGCAGCAACATCAATACCTAAAGCAATACCTACCCTTATGTGCATACTCCCCCTCCTCCAGCAGCAATCACTTGACCAAGGGGAAGTTAAGAAAGGGATTTTGGAATAACTTAGTGCCCAAGTATAATGAGTATGAGGAACTTTTTAAAAAACTTAAATCTTCAGAACTGCAATATGAAGTATAATTTTTCAGAGACACTTTAAAAATCCTTTGAATAGTGTTTATCATAACAAAAACTTAATAATCAATTAACCAAAGCTTAGTTTAAATGTGTTTTAGAATGATATAACAATTCTGAGTTAAGATTACTGGTTGCGTTTATTATAAAGTTTACACAAGGCAATAAAATTTGTGAGTCTATTTACTATTTTTCATGGTGAAAAGGCAAACAATTGTTAGTATATAAAAAACATGGAAGGAAAAAACTTTTTATAAAATCTTACTTCCTGGAATGATCAGTAAGTATAGGAACTATCCAAATGTTATTACAGAATGTTTACAAATAAATCAAAACCCTTCAAATAATTCAAACCACAAACACATATAAATAAGATAAATTACTTTAATAATTACATTAACTCTATCTAGTAAATGCTTACTCTTCTCAAAGAATTAATAAGTGAAGCCTTTGTTATTTCCACACTGTCTTCCCAGTCTACTTAAAAATGTGCTTCTGGTCTAGAATGCAAAGGTTTAACAATCACACACTCTTTTAACATTCCAGCATACCATTGGTCACAGCAGATGAAGCAAAACAGCCTGAGAACCACCAAAGGTGAAATAATAAAGGAGCCTCAATCATAAAGTCAACAATGCTACCAGTGCATTTGCCCACAATCTGCTCCTAAATCGGAAATTTAAGAACATTTTGTTTAAAATAGTAGTAGAATTACATTCGTAACAAAATTAAAAAATCAGTTTATTAGTCATGAAAAACATAAATAGAAAAAATAACTACATTCTAATAGCCATGAACTTACTGAGCAAAAGGAGGCAGTTCTTCTGTACGAGAAGGCGCTTGGTCACATCCCCAGAGGTCAGTGAAAGATATGGGCAGTTCATCTCCCCTAGTAGCCCACTCACCTCAAGCTGGAATTCTTCAGCCTCACTTGGACCTTTTCAAGAATTAAAATAATCTTATTCAATAATACTGTTGTTTTTCCATTAGCATAACAATTACATATTAAAAACTGAAATTTTAATAGGCCTTTCCAAACTTGAGTTCCTTTCCCTTCTAATTTATTTTTTCTTATATCACTGAAAATTTCTTTCTTACACTGCACATTAGGTTATTCCTTTATAAGACAATCTTTAATGGCTCCTAATGTATACCTCATGTAATTAATTTTTTCAGTTTGCCTTTAATGAATCTTCACAGCTACTCATGTTTGCCCTTCCCTGCTCATTCGATTATCATCATCTACTTACCATTTCCTCAAACAATCCCTCTATTGGTGCCAGTCATCTTCTCTTTAAGCCCTCATTTATTTCCTGTCACTGATAAGCCTACTGCTCTCTTCTCCTCCAGCAAATCCCACTTATCCAAAAACCCAGCGGTCTTGCTCCTTGACAAACTTTCTCTAGGTACTATTGCTCTGCCTGTGAACCACATAGGGAAGCATTTAATTACTGTACTAATCTCCAGTTATTTCATTTGTACCTAATATTCCCAGTTAGACTAAGTTTGAAGGCAGCTAATATAACTTATAGTTCATATTTCCATAATTTGAAAAAAGGTAAACAGTAAACAGGCTTTGGGTAAGCCAAAGATGGGGTTGCTTTCTTCTGTATCATTTTGATGGTTCCATATTCCGTATCAAAGATGGGTAAAAATTAAACTTTAATTTATCTGACCCCAGTCCAAGGATTGTATTATCAATGTTCTGCAAACTGATATATAAACATTGGGTTCCACAGTGCTCCTTTAGAGGCACCTAGGGAAGTGAGGTAGTAACAAAGGAAGACTGTATTATCAGTGTTTTCTCAGCTGTCATCTATGCAGCCTGGAGTTCCATAGAGGTCCTTCACAGGCAGCTAGGGAGGACCAGGAGAAAATATCTGTGCTAAAAGTACCCCCCTCTCCAAATCAAGCAGATCAGCTATACTTCTCACCTGTTTTATGTGTTGGGTTCCATATAATACGCCACTTAAATAAAGGGGCTGCAAGTTTAAATCTTACAATTTCTTGACATGTTAGGTCAAGAGGTACTGTAGCTAAGAACAGGGTCTCTGAACTTGACTGCTGAGGTTGAGTCCTAGTTTTGCCTCCAATGGGTTATGTGACAAAACTTCTTTAAGCCTCTTTGTTAAAATGTATGAGAGTAATCAAACATGCCCCATAGGGTTGCCCTGAGTTAAGATATGTAAAGTGCTTAGAACTTGTAAATACAATGATCCTAAGCCCTGCTATTATTACACCTGACTTTCCTTAATAATTAGAATTGGGGAAAAGCTCAGTGGTAAAGTGCCTGCTTACCAAGCCCAAGGCCTTGTGCTCAATCCCCAGAAAACACATATTCACAGACAAGAAGTGGATGCAACTAACATGTCTACATTAAACACTAACATGCAAGTGAGTAAACTCTTCAAAATGGGATTATGTGGGGGGGGGGAGGGGATTATGGGTATTGTTTTTCCTAAGGGTGGGGTTAACAGATGGGCATTTTTGTTTGTCTCCTATTATAGGTTTACTTATGGCAACAAGGAACCAGATGGTGGAGTGTCAGGTTCCAAGTTTTTGTCTCTTTTGCAGAGTTGACAAACTAATGCTCAAGAGATGACAAAATTGACAATATAAAGCAGCTCTCAGCCCTATAAATCTGATGGTGCTGGATCTGGTCTTGATGTATTTAATGATATACGATAAGGTTTCTTGATTAAGCAGTTTCTTTCCTCCATAGCACAGCAGAATTATAATACATTTGCTTTACATGATATAATGTGCTTCTGGAATCTAGTAGTCCTAAGAGGAAAAATTTCTAGTTCTAGCCACCAATTCAGGATCTCATGATACATATTATGCAAAAAATGGAAAGTTCATATATTCCATATGCTATCTGTTTTTCTGTATTACAGTAACAGGGTCTTTTCAGTCTCCACAATTTTTTTTAAAGTTACATGACTACATTCTGTTTTTTAAACTTCTGAATCACCTTATCTCTAAAAAACTATGGAGGAAAAAAAGTATATTGGTTTTTTAACAAAATATTCTTTACATTTACAAAAAAACATGAAATTTAAGCTTTAGTTATCAATAATGTTAACTGACAATACAATTTTATGTTTATACTTTACACCTCTAAATAAATGTTTACTTACTGTTAGTTGCTTGAACATTTTCCTCTAGTTTACAGAGCACTCTTAATTCAGATACCAGCCAAGCACAGAGTTTAGTAAACTCAGGGGAACTGGCTCCAGCAGAGACTGCTTGAGACAGTGCGCCATCATCCAACAATGGGCCCTTGTAACTGGTGAAAAAGGAATTACACTTCAGAAGAATATAAAGCCCCCCTAGGAGACTACAGGTAAAATAGTCTATGTATTATTTATATAATTAAGCAATAATTTAAAAGGGTAAATTATGATGACCAATTTCTAAACTTGCAAATGTAAACAAAACAGAACTTGCTGAACCATTTTAAAAATAAGCCAAAAGGTAACTGTACTTACATTCTTCAGAATATATGTGAATATTTAACAGAACCACATCTAATATTAAATTGTCAACTTTTGTACATTTACTGAAAGCTCTTATTTTAGGTTTATTTCCTTACTGTTATGAAATATTAAAACCAATTAACAAGTGATAGCTAATTATACTGGCACTATTTCAGAAATAAAGCTTTTAAGTTATCTATGCTAGATTTTTTCCAGAAATCAATTAGGTTAGGTTTTTAGTGACTTCTTTCAACTCCCCTTCCCCCCAAAAAAACTTTCTAATTAGACATTTACTTTGTTTTTCTACACTTAATGGCGGTTAAAGTTAGTAAGACAGCCAGGTTAGGTGGCATATGCCTGTAATTCCAGCTATTTGGAATCTAAGGCAGGATGTTTGCAGGTTTGCAGGAACTTAATGATACTGTCTTAAAAAATAAAATGGGCTAGTGATGTAGCTTAGTGGTAGAGCATCCCTAGGTTTAATCTCTATCACCATAAAAATGAATAAATTATAAGTGAGGCCCTAAGCAACTTAGAAAGAGACCCTGTCTCAAAATAAAAAATAAAAAGGACTGAGGATGTGGCTTAGGGTAAAGCAATGTTGGGGTTCAATCTTTTGTCCAAAAAAAGAAAAAAAAAAAGTAAAACATATTAGTAGTACCAGAAAAATATCAAGATTACTTTAATAACTGTTGGTCAGTTGAATCAGTACGTATGAATCCTAATCTTTTGTAAATAATCCCAAAGCAATCATAAAAATTTATAAAAATGTTCAAACATTCATGACAATAATAAACACCCATTACCTTATTCTAGAATTTAAGGTTTTGCTATTCAAAATAATATTAAATACATATGTTCAGATTGTTTTATATTTATTTAAATGAAATACTGATTAAAACACTATTATTAAAGATGACATTATATATGCTTAACATAATGTGAGATTTAGCGGTATTGATATGTTAAAGAAATTAAACTTCTTGATCCCTTTAAAATATGATTACATTTACAAAAGAAATAGAATGGGAAGCAGAATGTGGTGGCACATGCCTGTAATCCCAACCACCAGGGAGGCTGAGGCAGGAGGATGGCAAGTTTGAGTCCAATAGGGACAACTTAAAGAAACTCTGTGTCAAAATAAAAAATAATTTTTAAAAAGTGGGGGAGGGTATAGCTCAGTGGTAGTAGTTTCTTCACCTGTGCAAGGCTCTGGATTTGATCCCCAGTGTTCACAAAAAATGCAAGCAAAGCAAACATGCAAGCTTAACATAAAATTGAGATTATAGCCAGGAATGTTGGCATATGCCTGTAATCCCAGCTATTGGAGCGGCTCAGGCAGGAGGAATATATATAAGAGACTAGCATGGGAACTCAGGGAGACTCTGTCTCAAAATAAAATTTTAAAAAGAGATCTAGGGGTATAGCTCAGAGATAGCGTACTCCTGGGTTCAATTCCCAGTACTGTTAAAAAAAAGGGGGGCAGGGAGTCCTGGGGATGTAGATCAGTGATGTATCCCTGGGTTTAATGCTTAGTACAAAAAAAAAAAAAAAAAAAAAAAAAAGATTATTGGGGCTACGGCAGTAGCTCATTGGCAGAGTGCTTACCTAGCACATGTGAGGCACTGGATTCAATCTTAGCACCACCCAAAAAAAAAAAAAAAAAAAAAGAAAGGCATTCTGTCTGTCCATCTACAACTACAAAAAAAAAATTAAAAAAAAAATAAAAAGACTATTGAAATTATACATAGTCTAGAATGTAAACAGAAAAAAAATCACGTTAATAGATACTGGAAAGAAGAGACTGGGCCTAGAAATTCCTTCTTGTGTTTCATATTTAGACTTTATTAACTTATTCAACAAGTAGTTACTGAATTCCTACTGTGTGCCAAGTTGAGAAAAAGATAGTCATTCACCTCTAACACTTTTCACTGAATAAAAGGATGTGTCAATCAATTAAGCATGTATTTTAACATTTGAGTCACCAAATTACGTTAAAATTTATAAAAATTCCTTGATTTATATTACAACCTAATGATTTACTTGACTACAATTATTATAGTAATAATTACTTTCATAGTACCCAAGAGGAAAACAAAACAGTTTAAAAAAACACAGGTAAAAGAACAATAAGGAGAAGAAACTGCATCCATGGCCAACTGTGAAGTGACCTTTTATTCATATGGAAGGATTACATTTAAAGAAGGCCAATCTGACTCTTCTCATTCCACTCCTTCAACACCTAAACCTGAAGTGTCATTTATGCCCTAATGAAAGAAATAAGCCCCTAAAGCCTGGAACATTCATGAACATTTAGATCAAGTTTCAAAGAAAAGAACAATGGTAATTCACTTTGACAAAGAAAGATAAGTACCACTGCTGCCTTTCCTAAAGATTTCTACTAAAACAGCAAACACACCCTTAAGGGTGTTTTCCTAAAGAAAGGTTTCTCTTAAGGGTTTCCATGTCCTGGAAACGTCATAAGGAATGTTGTGACAAAGGACTAGTTACTTATAAACACAACTAGCTAAATCTGTACTTTTTTATTTTCTTCTTCTTCTTCTTTTTTTTTTTTTGATATAGTACCAGTAAGCAAATACTGAATCATACTATTTGTTTCTGGAACCATATTTAGCCCAAGAGGTTCCAAGTTCTCAAATTTAATAGAGTAAATTGATCTGGGTGACCCAGTGTGATAAGAAGCCCTACTTCCAAGCTCCGAGATATGATGAATTATGATTGGGTAACTGTTAAGAGAGGGAGAGAGAAAATGCAAACAAATATGCCGGTTCTTGGTGGCTGAAGATTGATCCTAGTCTAAAGGGGCTCAAGACGGCAGTGTCAGAGTCAGAGAAAACTGTCAGTTGTTCCCAGAGAGGTGGTGATAGGTTAGGTGCACAGCTGAGCAGGCTAGAGGGACGCATGCAGCGCCCAACATGTGCCTTAGCGAAGCCAAGGTGCATGCAGAGGATGACTGGGCAAAGGAGATTTTTTTTTTTTTTTTTGAGAAGTGGGGTGTGGTAGAAACAGAGGCTCAAAGCGGGGGCAGGAAATTTGGAGGACAAGTAGGAAAACAATCAACTTTGGCAACCTCTAGAGTGGGGGTAGTGCAGAAAGATGGGAGCAAGCAGAGAAGCTCAGGGAATGGGGGTGGCGAGAACCAAAGCCCAGACAATGACACGCATGACTGACAAACGCTGCGGGCAACTCGGCTACGGGGAGCTCCGGGCAAGACTAGGGGCGTTGGGGCTGGAGGGCCCGAGCCCGCAGGGAAGGCAGTGGACGTGGCTTTGGGGGTCCCGGGGCCACAGGAAAGCGACAGCAGGAGCCACGGGGTGAGGCGTGGAGAGGCAGGTGTCTCCGACTGGGGCGCAGAAGGAGTTCTCGGGGCGTCAGCAGTGTGGGGTTTGACAGACCCGTGCCCTGGCAGTCTTACCCTAGGTCTTCCAACGACTCCAAGATGTCAGTCTCCATGAGGTCACACTCCATGCTACTGTGGTATTCAAATTTCCGAGTCGTCAGGCTCCCCTCTTCGCCGGCAACGCGTACACTCGCGCATGCGCTCTCTCCCCGGAACTTCCAAATCGACAGCTGGCGCCTCAGCCTCTGCACTGCGCATGTCCCGAGCGTGCGCAGGCTGCTGGGACCGGCCTGCCGCCCCACCCCCACTCACTAAAGACTTGCTGGGCTGCACGGGTCTGCACATGCGTACTACTAAATGGTGAAGTCGGCCGCCCCAAGAAGGGCAGGAGGGACTGGCTGCGTGGCAGATGGGCCTGGGGACCTGGCCAGGGGGAACGCTCTAAATCTTCCTTGTACGCATGTGCATATCTCGGGCGAGGCGGGAGGGGGCGGGGCTTGAAGGTGGGGCTTGTCGGGGGTGGAGCTTGTCGGGGGGTGGATCTCAGAACTCGGTGGGGTGTTGGCAGTGGATCCCAGTCTGCAAACCCGGGAGTAAAACCTAGTAGAGCTCTGCAGCATGCTGGCATGTTCCAGTTTTAACTGTGGGTCAGAGAGAAAGAGAAAACTTGTGCATTCTCGACTGATTGCCCAGGACAGTGGCAGACGGGCCAAGTACCGACATGGACAGAATATATGCTATTTGATTTCCTTGTCTGCAGTGGGTGAATTCCAGGGTTAGAGAGAAGCCAGCTTTCCTCTCACAGAATTTCATCAGAAAGTTGTATCCTCCTGTGCATTCTCTACCTGTCTTCTTGAGCCTTTTCCAAACACTAAGCATCCTATTATAAGGGGGCAAAGGAGATAAGCTCCATATTAAATAGAATAAAATATATTTAACAACATGCAATTTAGGCAGGGAATGAACTTTTTAGCTGCAATGTCATGGCTTTTGACATTGTTTTGCCGGAGTGTAACGATTTTTTTTTAAATGTACTTCAAGTTATTGAAAAATGAGAAAAAATGTTTTCAAAGTAACGACATATGTAGAAAATTACATTTAACGATACAGTGGCACACCATTATATTGTGTAGCCTTTTAAAGAGTTTCCAAATTGTACCAGATTTTATTTTGTAGTTCTCAAAATATCTTAACGTTGAAGTAGTATATCTTTAGTAGCATATTTTTTGTTCCTTATTTTGCATCATCTGAAGTAGTAGAAGGTTATTATGTACCGACTGTGTGCTTAACTTATTTACTCCCTTGACCCACACGATGCAGTCCTCACAAGGCTGTTAACTTACATTTTGTAAATGAGGCTTAATTGTCTGTCAAAAATCTTAAGGCCTGTAAGTAGGAACTGGATTTTGAGACTAAGACATATCTGAATCCTTATTTCTTATTTGACTATTAAAAACAGGATTGGATTAGGAATGGAGCTCAAGTGGTAGAGTGCTTGCCTAGTATGTGCAAGGTCTTGGATTCAATCCCCAGTCCCTCAAAAAACAAAATAATAAAATCAAGTAAGGATCTAGAAGCAAGAAGTAAAAAGATAGGAAAATTTAAGTTTGTATATAATGTACATATATATTGTTTATAATTACAATAAAAATAGAAATAGAATTTCCACAAAAAATAGAAATTCTTATTGTAGAGTTGTTAAAAATGTTAAACAAAAAGTACAGCTTAATAAAATATCAATTTTGAGAAAAAAGTTTTATTCTTGACTTTTTTTTTTAGACAAGAGTTCTTGCTATGCTGCCCACACTGGCCTCAAACTCACAGTTGTTCTCTCTCAGCCTCCCAGGTAGCTGATAGTACAGGTGAGCCACTGTGCTTGGCTTAACTTAAAAAATAATTTTTTTTCAGTATTGGTGGTGGAACCCAGGGGCCCTGTACCACTGAGTAACATAGTCAAGCCCTTCTTATTTTGAGAAGGGAGGTCTCACTAAATTTCTAAAGCTGGCCTCAAACTTACAATCCTCCTGCCTCAGCCTCCCAAATCACTGGGATTGCCAGACTTGAGCCACTGTGAGAGGTTGTTGACTCACTTTTTGATGTAAGCTGTAACACAATATTAGTGAAGAAAAAACTGATGACTTTCTTCAATTTTTTAGTCTTCTCTTTCTAGTTCAAACTGTAAGCTTAAATAGAAAGTTGCTGAAATGAGATTTTTATAGATATTATTTAAATAATTCTATAAAGGCCTTTTGTGCAATTAAAAAAAAAGCCTTTAAATACTACTTTTTCAAAATTGTCACCATTTCCATAGAACTGCTAGGAATCTTTTGCATTTTATTGAAAGTTGGTTGAACAGACATCTAAAATTTAAAAATTTTCTTTCTTAAACACTATTTGGAAGAATAGCCACTTCCATTTTTAGTGGGTTTGCTTTAGAGTGATCTTCCAAGATGGAGAAAATAAGATCATAGAATAAAATTTCCAAACTTGATTGACTTCTTGTTCTCCCAGCAAGGCTTCAGCCTAGTTTTTATGTTTTGCCAACCTGTGAATCAGGCACAAAACAAACCAAATAAGACACTGGTTTAATTTGCAGGTAATAAAAATTTATTCATCTTTATCAAGATAGACTAGCATTCATTCAGACCAAGAGTTGTATTTTGTTTGGTTCAACTAATAATGTAAATAATTTTGAGTCAACATTTGAAAGTTTGGAGATTTTTTTTCTAAAAAAAATCTGGATTTCTAGCCTTTTATTTTGTTTTTAAATTTATATAACTTGGTACCACTAGGTCCTTGCTGCTATAAAGGCAAAGATTAACTTTTGTTGAGTAGGTGGACCTTTCCAGATATAACGTGAATCTACCAGTTCCTTTTGGCTTCTAGATCCTACCACACACAATATAGCCCATGTATGTACACCCAGCAATGTACTTCACATTCTGTGCATTTGAGATCTCCAGTCCCTTTTAATCTTTTACTTAACTATGCCGATCACTTCTCCTACCCTCTCATAGGCATCTCCTCCTTTCTCCTCTGCCTTTTCTAGTGACATTCATTTAGCCCACCAATATACCTTGTTCTTTCATGCCTCTATATTTACCCCCTTTAAAATAATTCATTTTACATCTACTATACCACATAGCATGTTTTAAACACTGACGTGTAACTACCTAATAAAATAAAGCAAAGACAAAATTATCTTATTAGAAACAAGATACACACCCTCACTTACAGACTTCAAACATTACTGCTCTTTTGTAATTTGAAAAAGTATTCATGAAACAATCTGCAGTGTAATTTTAATAGATAAAACCTTTACACAAACATAACTATCCTAAACTGTTTATTAGGTATGAATTTTACAAACATGTTAATGGTAACAATGGTGCTTGAGACTATCAAATCTTTTCCAAACAGTGCAGCAAGGACTTACAGGGCAGAGTCCTGCCGTGAAACTGAGGCTGCATGGGGATCCCCTTTTCAAATCCTGATTCTTACAATTTATGCCAGAAAGAATTCAAACCATGTCGTGCAGAGTGTCAGGCATAATTTTATTAGAAGAGATAGGAAATGGGAAAAGGGAGTATTCTCAAAGGAAGAGAGGGGGTTCTCTTATAGGGGAGTAGGATGCTGTGGCCCTGCTGCTCACCGGTTTTATTGGGGGTTCCAGGGAAGTTTCCAGAGAGTCCCACACAAGTCCTCCTCTTGACTTTGGGCTGACAGCAGGATGACATCAAACTTTCAAGTCCCCACCATGCATGACAGCTCTGGGTTACTTTGACCTATGCTAAGAGGTTCTCATTGGAACCTGTTTTTACAGATTTTATGGTTAGGGGGAGAAACCCTCATCTCCCCGAGTTCCGGGATCTGGTCTGTGTAAGGATCACAGAAGTTTCCCCCTTCAGGATAACTTGTTTTTCTCAGCATTGGACCTGAATTTCTCCTGCAGATAAGAGGTTATTTACTGAGAAATATAACACATCCTATCAACTTAAGCCAGGCTGAGCTACAGGTTAATTGCTTTTTTAAAAAAGAAAGTGTGCAGGGTTTAGTACAGTGGTTCCAATCATGGAATTATTTCCATAACCTTATGTTCCCACTGCTCATATCTGTCTGTTCCCTATCAGAACCATCAATGTTAGCCCACACATCTTCCTGTGTTTATTAAATGCTTTGGTGGTCCACTGGGTATCAGAATTGCTGATAGCTCTATGGAAAGGCTAAATGAGTATAACCTCAGAAAATTCATACTTGAAATCTTCAACAACCGTGTAAGAATTTAGGACCGCCAGAGGCCCAGAGTGGTACCCAGCTCACTCCTTGGCAGCAGACTGAAGGCTTCAAGCAAATTTCATCCAGTTAACACCATGATTATCAGGCGTGGTGTAGGTTGCACCCTTAGTAACTGGGTGTTTGTAGCCCGCACATTGCACACAGACCCTATTTAAGACAGCCTTGTGTCTCAGGCTGTGTGATGACTGAGACATTATACAGCACGCCTGCCACAGAAAGCTGATGATCTGCCAACAGCAGACCTCAGAAGAAAGCACACTTCTTAGGCTGCTTCTTCCTGCACAGCTCTTAGATGTCTTGTATGCACCCATCTTGGCTTACCTGATGGCTGCGGCCAGACTACCTCCATACTCTGCATAAATTGTTTTCTCTGCCTGGAATCCCCTTTCTTGCACTCTCTTCCTGGCAGACTCCTCTACCCAATCTTTAAGCTTCAGCTTGGAAGAAGCCTCCTCTAATTGACTTGAGCCCTCATCTTATACCTCCCATAGCCTCTTTGACACTTTGGCATAGGCAACTCTAATGTACAGTTCCACCATCTGCTCTCTCTGCTGCTTTGCTCACCTGCCTCCCCGTCCCAGCTCAGATGCACCAGGTCTACAAGGAGATGTTCTGTGATTACACAGCTTAAGGTTAAATTTCTCTTCTGGATTTCCAAGGTACTGGTGCCAAAACTCAACTGCTTATTTTAATCATCTGGTGGACTTAATACAGATTCCTGGGCTCTGACACTGATGAGCCTGTCGGCATTTCTGGGGGTGAGTTTAAGAATCTCTGTTTCTTAAAACCACTTCACATCATGTCATAATTTGCCCTTCATTATTTTCCACTTAGGGCTTTTTTTTTTTTTAATGTTGCTTACATCATGTGTTCTGATCCCCTCTCCCATCATAAAAACATGCCCATCCTACATGTTGCCCAGTACATTGATGTGTACACAATAGGCATGAAAACATTGATTAGTTGAT